TTTTAATTAAGGGCTATTACACAAATTGTATCTTATTTAATAAATTTTTCTTTTGACAACCACAACTTAATTTTTATAGATTTTACTTCCTAAAGTCTTAATATTGATAAGATTTTCTATTGTGAATTTTCAATATCAATCTCTGACTCTCAATTTCTTCCTCAAATATTTACTTGTTTAATATTAATTTAAAATGTTTGCAATAAAAAAAAATTATAAATTCCTACTCTAATTAATATCAGTCCTTTTTTAAAAGATTACTATTTTTTTAGATATTAAATTCTTATTTAAAGTAATTGAATTTAGGCTTAGGGAATTGTTTTCAATTATATTTCTAATAACCTTAAGGTTAAACCATAAGGGGAAGTTCAGAGTTTGTATGTTATTAATCTTAGATAGATTATTCTTCAGATTCTTTTGATATAAACATATCAAATTCAATATTTTATATCTTTACAAACTTAAACACGAAAAATTATAACTAATATTAAATTTAAATGTAAATCCAAATACTAAATATATAAAAGGTCAATAAAAATTTGTGAAGCTTATCCTATCATAACATTTTAGATTGTTTAAGATGAATAAAGTTGTTTACTTTTCTTGTAATTTTAATATATATATATATTTCCTACATTTCGATTAGCCTCTTCAATGTTCTGGCTGTTATCAATTTAAAATTTATTAAATATTTAATTATTTATTTAATGCAGTATTATTTACTTTTACTTTTACATCTCAATAAAATATGGTTAACAATTTTGTATTATTTAATACAATGAATAGGTAGAACAGAAATGATAATAATATTGTAAAAAGAATAGCAATTATAAACATATTATATTTAATTTTTTTATGTTTTCTTTATAAAATCAATTTCAATTATATTTTTTATCTAATTAACTTTCCAAAAAGTAACTTCCTTTAGATTTTAGTAATAATCTAAAGTCTACTCCTTAATAATTGACAAATTCTCCTTTAAGGACTAAAGCTCCTTATGCTTAAAATATTGGTGTTTTTGAAATACGGAGAACAGAAATATTCATATTGACTAAAATTATATTAAAAAATAAATACCTGGAAGAGAGTTGTTTTATAATAGGGGGGTTTTAAATTATGCTAAAATATCTTAATAACGATTATCCGTAAGCTATATTTCTTATCCAGTCTTGACATCCCATAATCGGATAGAGTTATCATTACTACCAAATGCTAATGTATTTCCATCAGGAGAGTAACAGACTTTATAACGTTAACCATCCAATATGGTTTTTTATTATCCTGTTTTTATATCCCATAAACAGATGGATTTATCATAACCACCAGATGCTAATGTACTTCCATCAGAAGAGAAACAAACTGAGTTGACATAATCATTGTGACCATCCAAAATGGCTTTTTATTATCCTGTATTTATATCCCATAAGCGGATAGATTTATCCCAACTACCAGATGCTAATGTAGTTCCATCAGGAGAGAAACAGACTGAGTAGACATAACTAGTATGACCATCCAATTTTGCTTTTTATTATTCTGTTTTAATATCCCATAAACGGATGGAGTTATCCCAACTACCAGATGCTAATGTAGTTCCATCAGGAGAGAAACAGACTGAGTAGACATAACTAGTATGACCATCCAATTTTGCTTTTTATTATCCTGTTTTAATATCCCATAAACGGATGGAGTTATCATCACTACCAGATGTTAATTTATTACCATCAGGAGAAAAACAGACTGATTAGACAATGCTCGTATGACCATCTAATTTTACTTTTTACTATCCTGTTTTTATATTCCATAAACGGATAGAGTTATCATCACTACCAGATGCTAATGTAGTTCCGTCAGGAGAGAA